TCAACAAGCAAAAGTTTATTCAACATTTGTTGGTTAGAACAGCAAAAATCTAAAGCAGTGCATGACGTTGGTAGCATAACTTTGTCATCGCACATGGTTCAGTAATAACGGCAGATACATAAGAGCAAAGGTACATAGTGACTCCTTTGCAACAGTGTAGCATATTCTCGAAGTGTTAGGGGAAAATATGCATTATACATGAAATAGCAAGAACAAAAGTGGTATGAAAAAACGGTAATAGCAGGCAACGATAACAATTACCCACCACAGCCAAGAAAACACACCTGCCCATCGGAGCCGCTGTTGCTTTGCTCTTATGCTCACATCTTTATTGCATTGTGTCTGTCTGGAAGTTGCACGTGTGGCGCAAACCGGCTGTGTAAGTGCGAGCGTACAGGTTTTCTCTTATTTTACATGTTTTCACTTTTCGTACTGTACTTTCTTGTTTTTATTTCTTATTTGTTGTCGCTTTTGCAATTTTTGGGACCAGGGTACAGCAGATTTGTTGCTTTTATGAGCAATAATGCTTTTGTTGTATACATATTTTGTTGCTTTTTTGCTTCCTTTGTCATTAATAATGAATGTTGGCGGCAATGAACTTTTAAATATTTCATACTTTTGGCTACTGCTGTTCCGTTGTTGTAGCAATATCATTACGCTAGGGACTGACTCTAATGTTATTATTGTTGTTTTTTATTATTCTTGGGGTTGGATAGTTCGCATGAGGGTTATGAAATTTGCGCACATCCGTTTGTCGCACGCTTGGGGCCGCACCACCTTGTAGGTAAGTTATTCAATTTAATCTCTCTCTTTGAGTTCAGTTTTACATGCTGCCGAAACATTCTTTATTTCTCGATTGAAGTATTACGAATTTTTTCACTCCGTTCCCTTACTGCAGTATAAAAGTATGGTGGAGCGATTGTTTGAAGGGAACTTAGCCTAAAAAGCTGACAAGTTTCAATGGTTAGGAAGTATACTCATTAGAGGCGCAATAACAGCTGCATCATCGAGTCATTATATATAAATTACCAAATTGGCGCTTACACATATGTTAGTATTTGGCCGAGCTTTTCCTCCGATTTGTGGAGTGCGCCTTGATGTTGTCATACAAAGAGGAGGGAACTGCAGTTTTACGCCGACTCCGAACGGAGTGTATTTAAGTGAGAAGATGTTTTTCATGGCAGAAATATACTCCGCGGTTTGCCATTGCCTGCCGAAGGGCGACCACTGTTAAGAAAAAACCTTTTTTCAGAATTTGTTGCGGTGTTTCTTTGACCAGGGCTTGAAACCAGTACTGCAGTGGATTTTCTTCTTCACATCTAAAGTTACAGAGCTTCCGGGGCTGGACTACGTACCAGTACCAAGTGCGGGCGGCACTTATATGACGCGTTAACGAATATCTTACCCGGAGAGGAGAATGTAAACCAGATAGATTACGCAGAGTCCGGTCTTAGACCGGTAAACTTCTAGGAAACTTTTCAGTTTACCATCTATATTTGTTTACATTATTGTAATGGCAAATAATGAAAACTTGTAGTGGTTTGTCTTTTATTAAACATTTCGCTCAGTGCAGGTCTCTTGATACAAATTTTCTGCGATATACATGGCTGTAATAATCCTTACGAAGCATCCAACACAGCAGCCATAACACGCTAAAAATCTCTGAACGAAATTGTTGTTGTTTCAGGCCATTCACACAAAGAAGGAAATTGCGAAACCAATATGAGCTGTCAATATCTCAGGTACTAAATTAATTTTCTTTAGAATGTAAGTACGTTACAGAGACGTACAGACATACTCTGTATGTACATTAGGTTTGTCCAAAATGAGTAAAGTCGAAATTTTAATGCTCTTACTCCCTAGGATTGTTCTGTATCGATAAAAATATACCCCTATTTTTTAATTTAAAATCAAGAAATATTGACTATCGCTCGGTGTAATATATAGATGTACAGAATTTTAATCAACCTTGTTAACCATGTTAACCTTTTTAGACGGGACTTTACTGTGTCTGCTATCTTATTCAAATGAGTCACATCAATTTGTAAAAGGTTTTCTCTTATTGCAAACTTATCCACTATTCCACTAGACATGGAAATGACACAAAATTGGAGGAACTTAAAAATGCCACGTGTAAAATGAGTTTAATGATTTTTGAGTTTTGAGTTTAAAATTTTTCCCATTTAATGCCTGGTGGAAATCCACCATATATAACATATATATGGATGTGTACTGTAAAAATCGTAAAACTTACCCTATGGATTGTCTCTTCAAAACTTTGGTGCTGTCCACCATTCATTGTTTGAAAATGTCTCAGTCGTTCATTCGCCGCCTAGAAAATACGTTAAGTAGATAAACGTTTGATTATTTTTTTGTATTCATGTTAATATATACAAATTTTATAACAAATTTAGGGCATATTCATAGTTAAAATAAAGTCGATTCTAAAGATAGTTCCAGCTGTTTTGACAGATATTTCATTGCAAATTATATCAAAAAGTTGCAACTGTCATTACAGTCGACGCTATTGTGACTATGAATATGCCCCATTATTTCCGATAAGACATAAGAAAATGATATTGGTTTCTTATTTGTTTCATATGTCGTTACAGCTCAGCTCAACCCTGCTTTGAAACGTATTATGATTTGTAAAAACTGGCCTTTCTTACTGCCTTGTCGTTTCAGCATGCTTTCAATCAAACGAACACATTTGAATGGACTTTGCTGCGATTTCACAACTGAAGGTAGTGAAATTATGATCATTTGTAGGTAAGAGGTAGCGTTCTTTTGGAAAAGAAGATAAATTCAGCCTAATTGAAGAAGCCCAAGACAATGCTAACCTCCTTTAACATTACCATTTTACGACAGAGGGTTAAGAAAGTTTTCTTTCGAGAATATATTTGAAGAGAGTTGCTGCCCGTTTAGAAATTTACAATAATTTTAATCGACTAGTTAAATGAAATATTTAAATATAGGTGCCAAACGGAAGAGGTTTTAGTAAGCTTTATGGACTTTCAAACCCTTGCAAGAAACAACACATGGCGACGAAGCTCTGAGACTAATTGAGGATAAACTTTTCTCAATGGTGGAAAAGAAGGAATGGGAGAACTGTCCAATGAGCTATTCAATGAGTTGATTACAACATCACGAACTTGGCGGCTGAAGTCACCAAAACAGAACCCAAACTATTTCACGAGCAAAGGCAAATTTACCATAAAATTGTGAGCCGCGGGGAGAGCGGAGAACGCGGTCTTTATTTCTTGGACATACCAGGGGGAACTGGCAAGACATTCCTGCTGAATTTGCTACTGGTACAGTTGCCCAAGGATAAAAATGTTACATTAGCGTCTGCCTCCTCAGGGATATCAGCGGAGGAAGAACTGCATACTCCGAACCTTGGGAGTCAGGATACATAGCGAAACAATTGTGGCGGGGCTTTGTTGTAACAATGCAAATAAATTTTTTTGCTTAAAATTACTCTTCCTTGAATCAGTGAGCACACGAAAACCCTCACGAAACTGAAGTATTTTAAGTTCGTGCAATATGTTTTCAAGATCGCTGAACGCGATGGACGAGAGAGTTTTTAGATCTGACATTTACATTTTCAGATATTACAAAAAATTCTTTAAAAAACTGAGAGAAAATCCGAAAATCTCGCTTTAAAAGTTTATTATTTCTTAGAAAAAATTTTGCGATTTTTTAACACTACCACTTGTGTTCATAACCAGGTCATGGCAAACAAAATGAGGCATCGCAGAGAATGTTGCGTTCATTACTTCTCGAATATACCGGTAAATTACAGAACCTGCTCTTCTTTCAGAAATCCATTTGCCGTATGAAAGGCTCGTATCAGGAGATACAACATTTGATCATAAGTTACGCCCATTTTCCTAAAATTTTATAATAATGTTATTTTTCACCAAAATTCTACTTCACATACTAATTTTCAACCATTTGGATCCAATATTTACTGAAATATCGTAGTTCCTGAATTTTTCGAAAAAACTGTTATATGAGAAGGGGGTTACAGTCCGATTTCGCCCATTTCCAATACCAAACTATCTTGGATTAAGGGCAGCCAACATAACAAATTTCGAGTTATTGTGTACACGGACGGACGGACGGATGGACAGACAGATATGGCTTAATCACCTTTTCTATTCATTCAGAGCATTTAAGTATACATTTGTCTATATCTGTCTCGATTCGATTCAGCTGTTACAAACAACGGTTATGTGAAGAAAAGTTATAATATCTTTGCGCCCACGTGCGCTCGGGTATAAAAAATAGATTACCATAACTAAATACCATTCAACACTATTCGTTCGCTTATTCCATTTTAACTCAACTTCTGGGTTTATTGTAGTATTTCATGCCGTCTTCCTAAATAATTAATATCAAATTATGAAATTAACGAAAACAGTTCGCGCGTTTCAACGTAATTTACAAACAATGTGCCCCATGTGTATCGTTCAAGTCGAACATATTTCCAAAAATTTTTTTAGCCATCTTCGCAGATACAATTTTATTTTATTTTTAACTTTTTTCTACCTTTTATAAATCAATTAATTTCGCTTGTCTCTGGGTCAGTTTGTAAGACATGCTTATCGTGAAATTTTAGTACCACATCTTGCGTAGAATTCAGGTTGGCTCGCTTCATTTATTGCACGTTCAGATCGTTCTTCATTTTTTAATTAGACATTTCAAGCTACATATACATACTAAACGGCTGGCGGTGGCAGCCTAATCGCAATTTGCTTCCACTGAATTTACTGCTTCCGCATTTTGTGACGTCCAACCACTTGCGCCGCAGAAGTTGCGAAAGTTTTTGTTGGCAGCTTTTCAACCGAAATTTTTGTACACACAGGTACAATGCATATAAAATATTTATCTTTATGTGTGCACTTGTGCTGGTGTCTTCTATCCTTTCGCGTTATTTATGTCTGTACTTGGGGGTGTTAAACACTTGTTTACTCGGCTGTGCGCTATCTCGACTGCCAAAGCTATCGCCCAGTCAGCGCCACTGAGACTATTTCATTGCCAAGAATTTGCGCATTTAACATTTTTTAAGACATTACCGCCTTCTTCTTAAGCCTTTTATGCTACCCCTGCTAAATGTTGGTTTAATCAAAGAAAAGGATGTCTTGAATGAATCCTTTTGGAATAGCAGATAAACTTAGGAGCAGGCGACGACAGCTTCGGCGGCGCCTTTAACCTCTGCACTGCAAACACTTTTGAAAGCGCAAAAGACAGAGAAGAATGGTGGTGCTGGGACCAGGTGGTTGCGGGCTATGTAGTGTGTGTACATATAAAAAAAATGTGCAGGTCTCTAGGGTGGATATTAAGTATGACAACAAAAAGAAAACATGCGAAGAGGTTTTTTTTCTTCGTTTCAGCGGAGATATAAAAACCCTTAAGAGCTAAAAAAGTGTAAACAAGACTATGCAAAAAAGCATTTAAAGGGCAAACTCCAACGACTTTGATTGGCGGTACCAAGAGGACAATTGTACTGTTAAATAAACAAAGAAAAATATTATGAAAAATGTATTAAAAAAAAAAATTGTGGCAGCCATAAAGAAAATGAGTGCACATGCGCTACTCTCGCGCTAATGGACATTTTTCATACAAAATACGCACATGTCGTGGTCATCTGCAATGACGACACAATTCAACATTCAAAAAATAAAAACCCTTACTACTGTTAAGTGGCTCATGTCTCTATTATATAATTATTTTAGTAATTCTTACTACTTGCTTTAGTAAGGGTTGGACATGCACTATATAAGGATTAAGGACAGAGGACCTTCGATATGTATATGTTATTTTTTTTACAACAATTATTTTCTGTAGAAACTTTCCAGTTGGACTAGGAATCACCAAGTTAGGAGTGTTATCTACATAATTTTCATAGACTTAGTAAGTTGGGGCTCCAAACCTTGAGTGGTTTTCCTTAATTTGGGCTAAGGCATGACAACACCTAATTTTCTCATTTTTCCGGTTTCAAATTTTGGAAGTGCTTACAAATTTCGAACTATTTTCGAATTCAGCACGTATTGATTTCTGACCTTGGGAACATGGGAAACATGGGAAGTTTTTAATAAGATAAATAAATAAGCCAAATAATTTTAAAAAGTCACAGGGAAATAGACTTGGCAGCCCTTCTTTCAAGCACCCTTGCTCAACATCTTTAAATGCTCTCAAATCCTAGCGGACTTGGTTCACAGATTCGTTACAAGGTTTTATACGTAGATAGATGTATATTTTTTGAATGAGGATATAATAAAAAATACTTTAAACTTACCCTTACTTGTGCGGCAGTTTGCTGATTGTTTCGATCTCGTCGATTTACTGTTTTCAGACCTTTCAAAAGTCTCGCTAAGGTGGTACGTTTTTTGGTCTCGCGACCTTCTGAAAAAAAAAAAAATATTTGCGCATGAGAAACGTTGAGGAATTGAGTTAAAAGACATCCGATGAATGCGTTGAAAATTTATAAAAGAAACCTATAAGGCAAAACTATTTTTACGCCATACTAGGAAATTTTATGGACTACAAAATTTTAAGAGTCACGAAATAATTGTTTTTAACTGGAGAAATAAGTACTATTAATATGTACTACAGAGAAACTTTATTTCATAAAGTGAAAAGAACACACTTTTCCTACAAGATTTTATACCTATTTCTAGGGAAATCTGTAGCTCGTTTCTGTAACAATTCTTTACCAAGGCGAATTGAGATATAAATTAGCCGCCCTGTTCTCTAATGCTAATGAGTAGTAGAGAATGACGTACATTCTCTACCAATAGTGAAATAATCGGTAGAGAAAATTTACAGAAACGAGCTACTGGTTTCCTATTCATTTATTCCAATGAACAAAATATTATATTTTCCGATAATTAAGGAATGGTTGCTTCTCATATTCAGCCTAAATTGCAATTAGCATATCATTACGTTCAGGGCCGTCAAGAGAAAATCCCTCACCTCAAAAATCTAATTTTTTTTAATTATCCAGCCTTAGAATAGCTTGCTCTCGAACGGAATAAGTGGGGCCCATAAACTAATCTCGATAAGCTTCGAAAATAATGTAGGTAAGCTTTTCTTCCAACCAAACGCGAAGCACACCATATAGAAATAGTTTAACTCGTAGCACGATGTAGAGAGCAAAGGTGGCGCCCATCTCAGTGAATTTGACAGAATCGCTGTTTGTATGATGTCGCACTTGTGTAACTGGTTTACGTTTGGCTTGCAAAATTTCTTCTTCCATTCTTTCTCGCGTTTTGGCATTTTTCTCTCGCAACTGCACCAGTGTAACGTCACACCAAACTTATACTCAAAAATCCTCTCTGATGGGCGCAATCTTGTATTCTACCATCCTTGTTTAACTAGTATACTAAATCAAGTGACTTTAAGGAAATGCGTAACTTCTCGTTAAAAATACTGGAGACAAATTTAAAATCCCATATTAAATTCCAAATTAAGCCGGGCATTCTATTAAAAGCCCCGCACCCCTCTGTAGAGGTAGATCTATGGCAACCGCTCTTTATTCTTGGATCCCAATACATAAAAGATCAGTTTTTAACGATGAAAACAGCTTAGATTTTTAGCAACATACTTCAGAGAAGAATTATCTTAGCCATGGGCGTAGCCAGGTAGGGGCAGGGGGGTGCTCGAGCCCCCTCTAACTTTCAAATTTTCCTTATATCAATTATATAAATAGGCAATCATGTTTCGTTTACACCCCTTTTACGGCTAAACTATACTTCTAAGGTATAAATAATTATATATCATTAGAAAGGTATTTTGATGCTGATGTGCAGGCAAC